CTTTAAGTTACTACATCTAGATAAGTATTTTCTTCCAATCTATTGTCTGTAGTAACAACTTTGACAGCCATTGTGGACTTGCATTAAAGTTAGCTTTGTGAAGACAATGTCTTGATAACCTTTAATGTCCAAGTGTTTGTATATAAGTAGAATGAAAAAAGTAGAGATTCTTGAAAAAGGTATGGTGCCCTGGTAGCAGTGGCAGTAATTTACTAAGTCTTGAGGGGGAAAATATCAGGACCTATTTGTACTGATGGAAAGAAAACAAATGACAGAAGCTGAAGTCAGGGTGTACTGAACAGGAAAACACAGCCTGGAAAAAATTGATTTTTTTAAACACACAGACATATACAGAAAAAGCCCTGACCTATAATTTTTTAGTACTAGACAACTTCATCATAATGTTGTCTTGAATGTGTGAATACATATGTTGTGTATATTATATAAATTGCATTTTCATTGTCAGAAGGTTAAAATAGAAATAAAAATTAAAAATGATCCTCCTACAAGATAACCTTGTATATTTTGTGTTTATTTTTTTGTATCCAGAAATGAAATAGTTTTAGTTGTGATGAAATATCAAGAAAATGTTAGGACACAAAACATTGAATTATTCCTTTAGCCAATCATAGAAATTTTGGAGTTTGAATGGCTGACATCAACATACTTTATTTGGTTGGAAGGAAGAAGCCAACTGAAAAATCAGAGTTCTCAAAATGTTCCAGCCCTTTTCTTGCTGACTCTTAGTTTAGTCGTTTATCTCCTTCCCATTTCAGCTTCTTTTCTAGGAGCTGTAAGGATAGTGTTCCTCTCCTAACCGGATACCACTACACCAGAGTGTTACTGAAAAGAGGGGACCACCTGAAGCCTGGATACATGTTAATTACCACAGAGCTTTGTATGCAAATAACCAGAACAGAACAAAAAAACAGTTGGCTTCTAGAATGCTAAGCACTCAGGAAACACAGGCAGCAATTGAGAATTTTTAAACCATGTACAAATTGTTAAGTATTAACAAACGGTTAAAGAAAACAGCTATTACCACAATGATTTTTTCTCAACAATATTTTTATTGAGTATTCTCTATGTACTAGGCAATTGTTCACTATGAATACAATGGGGGGAAAGCACAGTAAGCAAAAATGACTTCTCGTAGAGTGCAGTTAGTGGGCATATATTAGTCAAAGAGACACATAACAATAAAATTATAACCATATGAAATGCTTCTACATAAACATACACTTTTATGGACGTTTTCTTCCAAGTGTATACGGGTCAGTATATTTGGATACTGATGATTTTTTAAGATTATAAACTTTAAAAATTGCACTATCAATGAAAGTATTACTTGTACACATAATTAAAATTATATAGGCAAGCCAGACATGTTGGCCCTTGGGAGGCTGAGGCAGGAAGACTTGTATATTTAAGTCTATCCTACAATTAATTTTAGGCCAGTCTGGGCTAGTGTGAGAAGCTGTCTTAAAGAAAATACCCCACAAAACCAAAATGAATTAATTAAACATAACTGCAAAATTAAACTCTACCCAGTCCCAATGGATACATCTACAAAACACTCTTATACCTAAGGCTGGGGGAACACTGTGGAAGAGGGGGCAGAAAGTATTCTAAGAGCCAGAGGAGTAGGAAGTTTGCTCTGAGAGTGTGTCTTCTAGCAATGTCAGAAGTTACACCTATAAAGTCTCACCAACATGACTGCCTAAACATGAGCTGACTAAGGAGGACACCAATAGACATGCCACAAGACCTCAACCTACACCTATTGGACACTGAGGAAAGCTAACAGTCTTCTCCAGGGAGGTACACAACAGTTGATTATCCAATACAAATTGTCATCCCTGAAAACATACATACAAGTAACAACATTATACAGACCAAACAGGTTATATTTAGGCATATATGTGTATGTAATAACAAATAATGAAAATAGAGACCATGAATTTGAAAGAGAACAAGGATGGTATATGGGATTGTTTGGAAGGAAAAACGGGAAGGGAGAAATGTTGCGATTATAATCTTGAAAAAAAAAAAAGAAATTTTATGAAAGGACATTAATTATACTGCTAATGAATACAAATGTATTCCCTAACAGTCCCTTCTGCTTTGTGGATGCTTTTTCTGCCTTCTAGGCCATCTTTCTATTCATAATGTCTCACAGAGCATGGAACCCTGGAGTGATCTTTCTGCTAACACTGCTGAACAATACAGTAAATAAAATACTCATACCTAACCATTCTGCTTCATCTCTAAAAAATGAAAAAGTGATATAAAGCATGCAAAAAATATGCATGCTTTATAGGCAAGCATATTAAACTTAACCCTTAAATAAAGAGTTAAACTCTAAATAAAGACAAAAGTGCTTATACCCCAAACCCCACATTTCTATTGTTTTCAAATAAATTATCAATGAATGAAGACTTAGGTAAGCTTTAGTGAGGAGATGCAATTGTTTGAAGTATATGAAAAAGAAACCACCTCACTTAATTCTGCTACAGCTCTCTCCTCTCCAAGGCCGCCTCCACTAACTGCCCCTTTCCCACCATACATACTGTTTTTATATGACCTATGTCCACTCTCCATTTTCTTCAGTCCCAGAAGCTGGGGATCTGATAAGACATATTTTTTGCATGCTTTATATCACCTTTTTATTTTTTAGAGATGAAGCAGAATGGTTAGGTCTGTATTGTTCAGCAGTGTTAGCAGAAAGATCACTCCAGGGTTCCATGCTCTGTGAGACATTATGAATAGAAAGATGGCCTAGAAGGCAGAAAAAGCATCCACAAAGCAGAAGGGACTGTTAGGGAGTAATGTAAGCAAACAGGGTCAAAGTAGGCATTTGTCCATATTTAACCATTACTGCTAACTTTACTCCCATATACCTTCCTTGCTCTCTTTCAAATTTATGGCCTCTTTTTTCATTATTTGTTATTACAGTAATTTCTCACTGCTTAAATCATTCAATTAGAATTGTTCCTGGCGGGCTGGAGAAATAGCTCAGCAGTTAAGATATTCTTCCAGAGGACCTGGGTTCAATCACCAGCACCCACATGGAAGCTTACATCTGTCTGTAACTCCAGTTTCAGGGCTTCTGATGCCCTCACAGACATACATGCAGGCAAAATACCAATGAACACAAAGTAAAAATAAATTAAAAGAAAGATTGTTCCTGACTTAAATGTAATTCTATTACAACACAAGTTCATGTAAGAGATCTGAGCCCATTCCTAGTTTCCAAGATCATACTTTCAGTGCTGTGATAACAAATTAGAACATCTAACTCTAAGTTAGATGAAGTTCTGTATTACTTTCCCTGGATGGGCTCCAAAGCTAGATGTCATTGATCAAAGGGTGAAGCCAGCAGCATCTCCTGCAAACTACATTATCCTAAAAGCTCTGTTCCCTCTGCTGCTTTAGGGTAGATATGAAGAATGTCATTCCTTCAACTCTTGGAAGGGAATATTTTAGAAGAAACCCTAGATTTAGCTGGGTGTTGGTGACACACGCCTTTAATCCCAGCACTCGGGAAGCAGTGGCAGGTGGATCTCTGTGAGTTCGAGACCAGCCTGGTTTACAAGAGCTAGTTCCAGGACAGCCTCCAAAGCCACAGAGAAACCCTGTCTCAAAAAACAAAAACAAACAAAACAAAAAAGAAAGAAAGAAACCCTAGATTTATAAATAATTTTGGAATACACCCTGAAGCAACTCTGAATTTTTTTAAAGTGAAGGCTCAAAGTTCTCTATGTAGTTAAGGTAAGTCCAGCACCCTAAACTAGGTCTGCCCTACATACTGCTTCTTCCCTCTCTAGCCTTCTCTACCCCCTACTAAACTAGAGGGAAAGATTCTTATTCTGAAAGGGAGTAAAGTTAAATCTAGGTATGATTAATCCCTAGAGAAGTAGAATTGCAGCCTGAAAGTCAGTACAAATTGGCATTTTAATTTATCTTTCCCTAAACTCCTGCAGATTACTTCTTTCAACAGCAGAGGAGACATCTTCTGAAGAAGATCTCTTCTGAAACCCACTAGAGTTTCAGCTTTTCTAAAGAGCACTTTTTGGAGACACTCTACAGTTTCCAGGACAAGAGCACATTCAAGTCAAACTTCAGTTTAAAAAGAACGGGAGAACCAGGGTGTAAAAGTGCTTGCCAGGTAAGCCTGATGACCTAAATTCAATCCCCAGAACCAACTCCACAAAGTTGTCTTGTGCATGCCTTCTCATATACTGCACAGACACACACACTCACACTTTACTCTGGAAAAGTAGATCAAAGGTTATTCAGGTAAATACTTGATTCTGAGATGAGGTACAAACACAACATGTCAACTCTAGTGATATAAAGCAACTTATCCAAAATCAGAGCAAAGCAAAAGGCTGAGCATATTCAAGCACCTAGGTGTCTCACATCCATGCCTTTTCACAACAGAGGCCATGACTTGTAAGTTGGAATTAACTTAGGTTCTGGAAAAACTAGGTATGTATCCTCACCAAATGCAATCTAGGGAGCCTATACATAAGGAGATAGGGAAGGAATCCTAAAGAAAGATACTGGTAAGGCTGATTCTGCTCAAGTCTCTGTTGAGTCTGGTTACGAACTGCTGACAAAGAAATGGCAGAAGGAAACTGGAACAGAGTGTAAAAGACCCAAGGCCTGAGCCCAGATTCTCAAGTGCATCCTGACCAAGCACCTGAATGTAATGTCCTGCTGGAGCCCCATTTCCGGAAGCAACCAGGGAGAGCCAACACAAGGGCATAGAAGGAGCTCCACAACAGGAGACTCCAATGCCAGACCAGGACTGTCTTCTTCACACTCAGGCAGCACAGGGTACAGACTGTACAGCCTCATATTCTGACAAGAAGGGAGTAGCTCCAGAGGAGGACAGCTGCAGACTGGGGTGGAAAGCTGCAGGGTGGCAGTTCACTACTCTAGCTTCTTTCGAAGCTCAAATATGTACGGTGTCAAGACAAACACCCAGAAAGAAGTGTGAGATGAATACATTTATTCCAAAAAATTAACACCTTAAAAATAGTTAAACTTGTCCAAGCCAACTTCATAAATTCTTTAATCTTTTATTAAACAAAATGTACAACCCAAAACATCACACTATGATGGCAATAACTTGGGTAAGGGAAAGGTAGAGAGTTAGTTACATCTATGCTTGTGGAACAGAGAATGTGTCTAATCCCAATTTCAGATCTTTTAGAGTTCACAACAGAAGTGGCTGATAATTTAACATAAAATGTTACTGGACCACAATATAATGAACAAAGGTCAATTCAAAACTAAAAGACCTCAGAAACACAAACGCTCATGGTATTGAGCCAGGAATAAGCCTTACCGGTTTGTCGTCTTCCAAACCTGAGCCTGCCAGTTTTTCTTTCCTTTACTGAGGCCATTTCCAAATAAGTCTGCAAGTGACCAGGACCATTTGAAGCAAACGCAACAAAGTAAGGAAGGATGGAGCTAACATGCCAATAAGGGAAGTTAAACAGCAAGCAAAAAGGCTACTCACGTTGCATTTCTAACAATGTTAAGGTAGTCTCATCCGAATGAATGGAAACCTAAGGGAGGAACAATTCTTTCTTCAGAAGTTTTCCATTTCAGCAAGCTTTCTGGTGTTTCTCCCAGACAGCCATCAATTGCCCAGAAAAGTAGGTAGGAATACAACATAGTAACTGAAGTCAGCTGTTCCCTCCCCGCTCACATTCCATAAATGGCAGCCTCAAAGCCAAAATCAAAGCACACTTTGTGGTGAGCCAGATAGACATTTAACTTTAATGACAAAGAGAAAATAATTTGGCCAAAATTTTAAAAACTTAACAGAAAATATTTTAACAGATATGTAGAGAAGTTGTAAAGATTAATTTGTCTAAAGGGAAAGGAGTGGGGAAAATAGGCAAATTTCTTTAGCTCCCATGAACATTTACTGTGAAGGCTCCAGATGAGATTGCCAACTAGTCCTGGGTCAGCTGGGGTCCAATTTCTAAAACCCAATATGATTCATCCGTTCAGGTAGTCCTGGCTGCTGTAGTCATGAACACTAGATCTTGTGTGGTCTGGAATGACATCAACTGCAGCTTCTTGTTCAGTTATTTCCTGGGGGTCCATATTGCCTCCAACCACCTGATCCCTTGAGGGGGACCCTGAGGTTGGAGATTTCACCAAATTCAAAGCACTGTCATTGTCTTCACTTGCTTGAGAAACTACCTCTGAGACAGATACATTCACAATTTCTAGAGGTGGTGATCCCATACCCAAGGAATTACACGTAAGAAAGTCACCTGGCTCACAGAGCGGAGAGCACGGCTTCTCTTTTGGAGCTCCAGATGTCCGTGTGACAAAGTCAACAAGGTCTGGAAGGCAAGGAGATGGTCCAAGGCCTGAAGGGCCAACTGTCGTGGACTCCACTCTGAGTAAATCTTCTGGTAACTGTGACGTTCCCTTTACTTCCTCAGACAACATTCCTCCAGCCAACAGGTCAAGGGCCTGGTGTGTTCTCTCACCTCCTAAGTCATGGTCAACATTTTCTACAGGGTGTCCTGTTTCTAGACAGTTAGAAGCGATTCTCCCATTTCTGGAATTAGATGAACTATGTTCACCCTCTGTTCCAAAATTAAGCACCAAAGTTTTGGGAGATTCTAACAGAAACCCAGAAAAAGATTGTATTGGTTCAAAGTCACTGGGACTGGAAAGATTACACACTACAGATAGTACAGAATTTTCTTCACACATTTTCTGTGACAGGGCAGTTGGTGATCTATGTGCTTGTTCTATTTGAACATTGCGGAAATCAGCATGTACATCCCCCAGATTCCTCAAGGTAACAAGCCCCTCTGCTTTTAAATGTGTAGCTTCAAAGTTTTCTAAGGCTTTGCTTTCTTTTGCCACTGTTAGTTCTGGGTGAGTATCTTGTAGCTCCACAGCTTCCACCCCTGGTTTCTCTGGGCTCCCTTCTGGTTTCTTTGGACTCTCCCAAGTCTCTGGTTTCTTTAAACACATATCTGATCTAGGCGGGGATAGCAGAAGTAATTCAGGCACATCTTTTGGATTCTGGAGCAATGATGGAAATGAGTCTATTTTTGCCCTTTTGGAAGCAAGAGACTGATTCGATTCAATTACTACTTTGCTTGGATTTTCATGTCCTGTCATCAATTTCCTAGACTGTTCCACCTCTTTGTCAATTGTTGATAATTTTGGTTGTCCTATTTCTCCTTCCCATGTGTTTCTGCTGCCATGGTTCAAATTGGAATCTTCTATGCTGTGGAGTCCAATGTTGGTACCTGCTTCTTCTTCAACTGCTACCTTTTCTTTTAGTTCAGTATTTCTCTTCATTTCTCTTTCTCTACAATCCTCAGACTGGCCCAACTCTTGGTTCTTGTTTTGCTTATCTATGAAGTTAATTTCTACTAACTTCTGAGACCCCTTGGTATGACAGTGTGTATCTGACAGATGAGAAGCTGAATCTGTACCAGGTGGCCCTGGCTCTCCCAGGTCAGACTTGATTTTCCCCTCTGGAGGTCTATCCTTATTAGTGTCACTCTGGAAGGAAGCAGACGTCCACACAGCCGAAGTGTCTGTCTTTGGGACAACCATTTCATAAGGCCTATTTTGGTACAACCTTGTCAGAGGCTGTAGGAAGCTATAGCTGCTGTCTCTACTTTTGGGGTCTATATGATCTACAACTGACCATTTCCCTATGGACACCAGACCTTTTGGAATGGGATCTTCAAGTTTGCTGTTTACAGGAGCAGTGACCAAACCACTATCTTGAGGCAGATCCTCTGAGGACACACTACTGTTCAAAGTAGAAGTGGAAGAGATATCTGAATTTTCAGTTCTAAAGAGGCTGCTGTTTTCCCCGTTGGCCAATGGACTACCACTCAGCTTAGTCTCATGGGCCCCCTTCCCACCACTGCTGTAGAATATGTCATATAGGTCCTTAGCATTGGCTGTTGCTAAGCACAAATTTCGCTTTTCTAATTTTTTGGCCTGTTCACTGAATACACTTGAGAGGGGTGGTGGAGGCCGCACTAACATAGAGATTAGGGTCTGGTCCCTGTCACTCTCACTCACCCCAGGAGCTGTCTCATCAGAAGGAATGGCAGCTGGTTGTTCTGAGGCCGTGAAGGCTACAGGCAACCCTGAGTTCAAAATCTCAGGACCTTGGAAGCCAAGACCGAGAGTCTGAGATACAACTGAATTGGATTTCACTGGAGCTAAGACATTTGCTTGAGCAGGAGATGGGGCAGACAGATGAGGTATAACCAGGGGTGGTGGAGGTGGAGGTGGAGGTGGTGGCGGTGGTGGTGGTGGCAGAGCCAACAGTTGCTCAGGTACTTGGGATGGCTCATTCTTTTCAGCCAGTTCCACTTTTTCCTCTGGAGATCCCTTTAGAATCACCTCTTCCCCTCCAAAAGCTTTGGAGATGATATCTGGAGGCAACAGTAGATCAGATGAAGACTCTTTAACCACTGGCAGAGGTCTGGCAGAGGTCCCAGAGGATTTGATTGACAGAAAGGTGTTAAGAGGGGCAGGCTTGCTCACTGTAGCTGACCCTGACTTTCGGAGTACCATGGATGGGATAGGCAGGTTGGGTCGGATCTTAGTCTGCGTTGAGGTTGTAACAACAGGTGTCCAGGGACTGGTATGTGCCACAACAGTTTTCCCAGAAAGCTTAATTTTGATGGGCTTTGTCTTTCCAGTTTCGGCTTTTCCATCATCTTTGTCCTTACTGTTTTCTATAGTGTCTTCCTTAGGGGCACTTAGAGGCACCATTGAACCTTTTTCTTCTTCTTTCTCTGGCTTCTTCCAACTGAACTTTCCGAAAGACGATGCTATTGATGACTCCTTTTTTATCTCTTCTCTTACTGGGAGTTTGAGGCTAGCATTCCTTTTAACTTCACCCTTTTCAGGGGAATTCCCACCCTCAGAGAGCTGGTCCTCTAATTCTATGGAGGTTTTGTCATCTTCCTTTGCTTCTTTCACAACTTTTGCCTTTTTTTCTATCTTCTCCTCCTTTGGTTTCTCACTAAGTTTGCGCTTTAGCTCATTTTGCCGTCGTCGTTCTGTCTCTAGGACCACAGCCAAGCCTGCTTGGCGGTCCAGATTTCTTCGTTCTTCATACAATGGGTTTTCTTCCACATATTTCTGGAAAGAGAAAAGATAAATGCTCAATTATCAAGTTGCTATAAGAAAGTCTTGGCCATTTCCACTGCTATGACTCATTTAAGTATAAATCACTGGAAAGATAAACAACTATAGATAATTCAATTAACTTAGCATCGCTCACCAGGACTGAGAACTTCCTAGTTGTTAGATGGGATGTGAAATATCAGCAACTTTCTAACTCTGATATTTGACAAAGTCAAAGGAATTAGTACAGAAAAGTAGTGAGCTCCACAAGAACCACAAAGACCAACCTTGTATTTCTCATTGTGCTGGTGACCCTTCACATGTTGCTCTCCAGAAATTGGATCCCCCAAAAATTCCTCACAAAGTTGGCAGTAAAATCCAGTGATGGGAACCAGAAACTCAGAGCCTGAAAAAAGTAGAAAAGAGGAAGTAAGCCTGTTCCATCAAGGTTGACAGCAACCAAAGGCAAATCTCATCACTCTGTTTTGAGTCAGAAGTAGTGTTTAGATGAATCCCAAGGGCATGCTCTGTCTGGCTTAAGGCCTGAACTCTCTATTATTCTTTCTATCTCTTGGGTACATTGCCTAGCCTGGTTAGATCAGTACTCCCTATACCAGATCCATTCCTTAAGCTCTAACATGCACTAAGCATCTTAGAAGAGATTTAAAAACCATGTTCCCAAATAGTTAATTCACTCATTTGCATGAGAAGCTCTCAAGTAGGTACTAAGTCCCCATGGATCATCTGTAAACAGATGCAGTAAGCACACTGACTACTTGTAAAGACAAGAAACAAATTTCTGAAGACTTTTCAAAATTCTTAATAAAAAACATATCAAAATATTTTATATATTTTAGTTGAAAAGGCAGAGAGGGAGGAAACCTACCTTTTGCAGGAACAGTTATCTTGTCAGTTCGCTTTACAGTGTCTTGCTTAGCCTCACTCTGGGTCTTTGAAGCCCAAGGTCTGTTGTAGGGATCCAGTGTCTATTTGCAAGAGGCAGAGGCGCTCACACAACAGCACTAAAATCTCAATGACCCACTCTTTTCTTTTTCTTCCCCTAAATATCAGACCATGGAACCAGCAGTCCTTAGCTACCCACCCCCACCCACCAACTCTGCCAACTGTTTAAACGGAATCACCTGTGGAAAAGGTAAAAACATGTTAGCTCAAATACTAGAAATAGAGAAATAAAAATTCAGGTACTCAAGGAATCAAAAGAGACAGAAGCCTCACTTACACTTGTATGGTGTTTAGTTATAGTAGGTCCCCTGAACTGAGCCCTGGGGATGGTATCTCCTTTGTTCTTATCTCTTGACTCTTCAGACTAGGGCTCCTGCCCATTTGAGAATGTTTCATTTTCCAGCTTTGTAATGCAGATGGGTGCATAGAAGTTGGAGGGAATGAGGGTGATAGTAGAAAACAACAGTGGTCAGGATACCTACCTGTGTATGCTTCTTATTGTGCATATGGGTGAAGAAGTCAAACATGGTCCCACATATGGTGTTGCAGTCTTTGCACCAGTGATTACCAGCGTCGTAATACTCATACACAGCAACAGGTTGGTCAGATTGCTTAGAGGTTGGCTGGAGGCTTTCAGCAGAATTAGGGTTCTTAATACAGGACTTTTCATTTACTTTTGATTCCTAGAGAGGAAAACTTACACTTATAAAGAATTCAAGGCAGACTAGGTTTATATACTCTCAAAAAAGCAGATGGTTATAATCATAGGAAGTATGAGCATAGAAATTATGACCATATGTCTAGTGTCTAAAATAAAAAAAGTTACATAAGATGGTTAGAATCTTAATAGAACCTGTATTCAAAGCTCAAGAAAACTAATTAGGTCCTACAGTTCTTTCATATCAAGAACAAAACTACTGGACCTGGAGAGATGGCTTTTAAGAGCACTGGTGCTCTTGTAGAGGACCAGGAATCAGGTCCAAGTATCCACATGTTGGTTCACAACTGCCCATAACTCCAGTTCCAGGGGGATCTGACACCCTCTTCTGGCCTCTGAGGACATTGCATGCATGTGGTATACAACCATACATTGGGCAAATTACACACATAAAAATAGAATATTTTTTAAAAAACCACATATATTTATATTCTAAAGTTTCTCTAAAAGAATACCAAGATCATATGGGACAAGTGTGATGGCTCAGCAAGTAAAAGCTATATGACCCGAGTTTGATTTCCAGAATTCATGTAAAATACTAGATTTGGTATCATACATTTGAAATCCTTGCCCTCCTAGGGAGAGATAGGAGGTAGAGACAGGAGAAATGCCTGGAAGCTCATGGGTCAGCTAGCCTGCAATTTGAAGCACAGCAGAGACATCAAGAGAGACCCTGTTTCAAAAACAAAGTGGAAGAAGTAAGTTGTCCTTTTACCTTCTCACATGTGCTATCACCCACAAACACACACCCCTAAATTAAATGTAATTATAAATATATATATATATATATATA